GGCGTCCGTAAAGACATTTCATAGTACCAATGTCAATATCTATGCAGCACGTATTGTCTGTGATTCTGAATACTGTATTGTATGATCAAACAAAACAAATACCGTGTCTGGACCTGCGCCCCTGCAACCAATTACTAGAAGTAACATGTATACTGAAGTATGACTGATCATTCCGTAAAATCATTGAAGCCAAGGAACAGACTATACAATTGTATTCTCATTAAACCTTTTGACTTTTTTGTTTTCTTTACTAATAGATAATCGGTATAATTAAATGTGCTCAAACCAGTAGTAAACCTTATATATGATCGAATAATTGCAAAAATTATTATTATATATTTTTACACTAGAATATGAATTAGACAACCGAAACAACTACAATGAGAATAAATGTAAAGGTTCTTTTGTGGAAACTGGCGAAGATATCAAAAACGACAGGCATGCAGTGACCGTTGACTGGTCATCTACCAGAAATAAAAAAACACAAAGTTGAACTATTTTGTTAACTCTGTCACACCACCATTGAAGTCCATGTATGTATACCCACGTAAATTAGTGGGTTATATCAAAGTCAGTTTAGTCTATAATAGAGGGGGCGGACAGGGGGTACCTTTCTCCTTTCTCCCGCCCCTTCTCTCCTTTCTCCCGCCCCCTTTCTCCTTTCTCCCGCCCTTTTTCTCCTTTCTCCCACCCCCTTTTTCTTGTCTCCCGACCTCGAACATGTAAAACTAATGTATAGAAATCTCGTTTTAATAAAAATCGATCAAATTTGTTGCTTTTTTTATAATAGCTAGTCCCTGTCTTGTCCTTTCTCAAGATAGAAGTGCTGTTTCTTCTGCTTGAAGAACTTCAATATTATTTTCACTGACTGTTAAGCTGTCTGTTTGCATTGAATTTGCAACTGAGTTTGATGCACGCCGTTTCCCGATGATTTTTTTTAAAGTAGAAATCCAAATGCTGCTACATAAGAGGAAAACAAATATCATTTATTGGACTGTTTAGAAGAAATTCGATACGATTTCGGAAGTATACCTCATGAGGATAGGCCTACGTATATATGACCATAACCGAAACACCTCGTTTAGTATAAAAAACACAGACCAGATCTGGATTTTTATTCTAAAAATACACACACACAATAATTATCACTACAAGCATGGAAATGTGAATGTCTTAAAAAATATGAAAATAAATTCTGAAAAATGTATTCCACAACAAGAAATATGTATCACATGCTGAGTATACCAGCTCCAAATTACTCTAAATATATGCACATAGAAAATGGAATTAATTACGAAGGATTATAATAAGATATACTGGATTGGTCCTGGACCTGATTGATTTTAATATAGGTTCAAGTTAATTTACGCTTCGGTGTACAGGAATGGTTGTATTTTTTTTTTGTTTGAGCTGGACATGCTGTACAGGTACAGATGATGAAAAATGCACCATTTCATAAAACGGTGAGTCAAAACGATTCATAAATGATTAACAACGGTATCTTTTTGGGGAGGGACACATTGCCGACATGACTCCATGAGCGTCGGAAAAAGTCAGAGGGTATTTTCGATCTTTAAAAGAGATTTTATAACAAGTACATATACAAGTATGTATGTTAAATAAAAGTGTTGTAAATGGAGATATGGGAGATTCAATAAGACTGCAACTGGCCAAATAACGACACACAAAAACCAAAGACATCTAGATAACACAGGACAAATGCAGGATGGACGAGAATTTTTATATGGCTAATATGTAGATTTAGAAAAGATAATTTGGTCCCTTGAATTGAAAGTTAATAAGTATATTTACTATAGTAAGTATAAAATCTATCATATGATAACATCACACGTTCACAACATTAGTCATATTAATTATAATACAAACATATGTCAATCTCGTAAGGTACACATTTGTTAGTCTTTAAACAACTCGTATTTCAGAAGAAAACTCAAACCATTATGAAATAAGGAGATGTAGTGCCTATGAGACATCTCTCTATCAAAGATAATATTATGTTTTGTCACAAAATGCCTTAAAAAATTGACCATCACCAGATACGCTTAATATATATTTTGGTCCCGGAAGCATACTGTTTTACCCGTGTCCGTATGACCGCCCGTTCCTGACTTGGTATATATAACTGAGGGTTTGTTCAGTTTATTTCTTATTGCTAAGTTTTTTAGATTCAACTTTAAATAATGTACCAGGTGATAGTATATATATCAGAAGTGCGCATATTGTCAGGATTTTTGTTTGTTTTTTGTTTTAAATGTCAGGTTGTTGAATTTGGCATTTTGATAATATATAAATACACGCAGAATACATAGCCCTGCTTACTCCTTCTACGACAACATGTACAATTTCAAGCTTGAACTTTTATATTGCGCCGAGTGTTTTACTTATAAAGAGGGTGCATATATATTCTCAGGATTTTTTATTGTATAATTTTTCACGAATGACAGAATGTTGAACTTTGTCTTTTCAAGTGAAATTTTGAATACAATTTGTAAGGTGCCTTTATATATTACCAAAATGTTAAAATGAGCAAACTCATTAAAAAAAATCACACGTTTACACCATACAGTATACTTGATTAAGAATATGTATTTCATCAAGATATTGTTTGTATCTATCATTTTTACAACTAACAGAATGTTTAACCTTTTTTGATGGTTGCATTAAATGTGTCTTTTGAACACAACTATTTCTAATTGTATTGAATCGTCCTAAACATGCATGAAATATTTGACACACGGAAATTGCGGTGGCATCACCCTTGTCTAATTTGGCTAGTAGGGTTAAGTTGAAGATTTGAATTTCTTTATAAGCTAATTATGCATCCGGTTAGGACGAAATGTAAGTAACCAGACAGGGGAAATGAAAACAAAATAACAAACACCATTCATATCCCGTTACATATTTTCATACCTCTCCGTAAAAATAACGTTATTTGATATGCAGAACCGTCATCCCTTTTCTGTCAAATTCTTTGCATATCGGTCAACTTTGACGCAATTTATCTAAAAAAAACAGGGATGGTAACATGTTTGTTACTATAAATGCACGGATTCAGAATACAATCATTGATATTCTGTTAGTTTTTAGTCTTTCTCCGTATATAAGAGATCGTAATGATTGAATAAGTGACGACGCTTGGCGTATTTATGAGGTCGTTTTCATTAAGCCTACTACGGCATTTATTAGCAATTTCTTCAAGCTTTGTATTATCTAATTTAATAAAATAATCAATTTCCGACTCACTTTTATTATTTTTTATAAACATTTTTGTCTCCCTTATCTACACCTTTTCTCCTTTCTCCCGCCCCTCCTCTCCTTTCTCCTGCCCCCTCTCTCCTTTCTCCCGCCCCCTCTCTCCTTTCTCCCACCCCTTCTCTCCCTGTCTCCCTTTACCCTGTCCGCCCCCTCATAATTGACAATTTGGCCGCTTTGAATGCAAGCTCGTTTCCAATATATGAAGATTTATTTATTCATATATGTTTGGGGGCGCATTGCATTTGCGCCAATTGTTTTTTGAAATTCGCATTGTTGCTTCACGATTGTTTTGAAAAGAAGGTATGTAAATAACGTTTTGATTTTATAGAAATATGTTAAAATGTTAACAACAATACTCTCTTATTTAATTCATAACCCAGTCACTTTTAACAACTTTTAGATTGTATATTTGACCCAGCAGGAAAACAAATACGAGGAAAGTTGGCCCTACTAATCGTTTGTTATATATACGATTTTTGTTGAAGTTGACCATTCTGTTTCAAGAGCCTAGGACAGTGATACTTTTCTTAACACATTCAAATTTTTACAAGTATTGGGAAATGTTGAAACCGTGAAGCCATTTCTTTTTAATTAAATTAATCGAAACACACCAAATACCAAAATAATCATTAACTATACAAAAAACTGCACAATAAAATCCTATAACTTCACCTCATTTTACATTTCTAAATATCCTTTTGAATAATTATGTAATTCTCTATTCATACTTACTTTAGGGTTGATAAATGAAGCGATGAGACATAAACACGTGACTTCAATTATGTATTTGTATATTTGTATATCAAGTGCATTCCTTTGGAGAAGTTATAAATAACGTAAATATGTTGGGTTGTGAAATACACATAACCTCGTAGTAGGGATAAGCCGCGGTTGTAGGTCACCTGTGATAATATGTAATTAAATCGAAAAATTGACATCAAATATATCATATTACTTTATTAAGTACCTAAAAAATCTGAAACTTATCCGATCTTAATGTTTTTTAAAGATGCGATTAAAACCACAGTCGTAAATGCATCAGATATTCGTCAAATCTTTTTATCTCTCCGTAAAATAGCGGAACCATAATAGCTATATATAGATGTATTTTTTTATTGAAAAAAATATATGAAAACGGTAGGGTACTGGATATCTCAGCTGCTCCTCCCTCCCGATCCCTGAGCATATAACAGCATGGAAGCTTTTGAACAATGTAATTGAATTCAACACTATTTGTTTTTAGAATCATGTTTAAAAATTAGTACACCATTATATTAATAGTTGTACAATATAGATATGAGTTACACAGTTATTCGTTGTACAGACTTATAAGTATAACTAAATAAATATGGTCACTTTTTTCCTACATTGTCGATATTTATATGATGGCATTACACAAATGACTGCTAATGACGTATTTACGCTATACCCGTTTTTAGGTGTACTGATTGATATCTTATTCTGATTTATTATCACGCCTGCTTCAAATGTCACAGAATGCAAGACATAAAGATGATTATCAGATAACAGCGACGGTGTACACTATTTACATAGAGATTACAAATCGTTTATGATGAAGCCTTATATTCCAAACTCTCCTTCTGGTATATGTTCGTTGTCCTTAACCTGATTTGTATCCTGTGTGTTTTTCAGTAATGATTCATAGAACAACTTTTTTGTAAGTATGTCCGTAAACCACACGTGTAAAACAGGGGTTACCTTACCTCGACTTCGTAAATAATCAGTGTGAAGTTTTCGTGATCGGCACTTTTTTTTTTATTTTCCTGGTTTTCTCTTTTAAATTGTTTGCAATTTTGTCAACCCCAAAGCCTTTTATAGCTGACTATATTAGCATGATTATACGGTATGGACTCTGCTCATTTTTGAAGGTCGTACGATGACTGTAATTGTTCACATCTTTGTCGTTTGGTCTCAATGGATATTTTTCCCATTGGCAATTATACCTCTATACTTTATATTTATTTTGTTCATCATTACCTGGATTAAGAAGGTCCTTAATGCCAGCGCGCGTGAATGCCTCTACAATTAAATCTTTGATTTTTTAACAGTTTATGGAAGCCGGATGCGGCCAACTTCGAGTTTTTGCTATTTTAAAGTGAAAAAGGTGAAAACGCAAACTGTGAAATCGGGAAAAAACGCGATATCGCAAAATCGCAAAACTACGAGTAAAAACTCGAAACAAAATACAAAATTGTATACGCGAAATGAAACGCTTTCTTGATTTCGCTTTTTTGCAATTTCACATTTCGCGGGTGGTATGTTTTCTCTCTAACCCGAAATGATTAAACAGTCGTTAATACCGCTGATCTACGATGGCTACGAAGCGAGTAAGAGATATCGATTATATAGAGGACCTGAATTATACGGGTTATGTTTTCTCACGCTCCTTAATTACATGTAAAACATTTCTCCACTGAATAAATATCATGGCACATGACAGTCGTGTTATTATATGGAACACTACAATAAAAGACAAACATGTTATGAAATTTTTATTTAAATCAAATATCATGTTTGTAGTCCTTGTAACTCGAAGAAGCAAGTATATATATATATGTTAATGATAGACTTAAAGTAAACGTTTTTGTCAACCTTCAATAAATTGTTCAATTTTTAATCAGCGTTTAGGGATGATTGGTGAATTATCTATTTTACATCTACAACATACCACTTTGTTATGTCATAAACACAAGAGATAAATAAATTTGCATTCATCTTTCACACCCGTCATTCGTTTGTTAAAAGGTCTTTGGCCGGTGTAGATACATTACCTGCTTTTGACGGTTGACAGTTATATAAAAATAAGGAGATGTGGTATGATTACCAATGAAACAACTATCAACCAAAGTTCAAATAGTGGATGGAAGCAATTATAGGCAACCGTATGGCCTTCAATAATTAGAAAAACCCATACCGTATATCGGCTATAAAAGGCCCCGACATGAAAAATATGAAGCAATTCAATTGAGAAAACTTTTGGCCTAGTTCATAACAAAACAATTTACGAAAAACAAATATGACAGACAATGAACCAACGACAACCACTGAACTACAGGATCCTGACTTGGGACAGGCACATAAAGAACGTGACGGGGTTAAACATGTTATCTGCCCTTGAATTTTTACTTGATAACATTTTTGTTCGCTTTGGAGATTCCGTATATCGTCAAGTTATCGGAATTCCAATGGGGACTAACTGTGCACCACTTATTGCGGACCTGTTTTTGTATTGTTATGAGTTACAATTTATGACTAAAATCAGCAAAGACCCATCGAAACAACATCTGATACAAAAATTTAACAATACTTTTAGATATTTGGATGATATATAGGCTCTCAATAATGACGACTTCAGTATGTATACTTAAGAAATTTATCCTGTTGAACTTACTTTAAATAAAGCTAATACTAATAATGACCACTGTCCTTTCCTCGATCTTGATATATATATATCATTAACGGGAAGTTTAATACAACAATTTATGATAAAAGAGATGATCCCATTTTTAGATGGTGACGTCCCCTTGTGACCCTCTTATGGTGTTTATATATCTCAACTTGTACGATTCGCTCGTGTATGTAACAACGTATTAGATTTTAGCGAGAGAAATTTATGTATTACTGAAAAATTATTACACCAGGGTTTTCGATATCATAAACTAGTCAAAACATTTACTAAATTTTATCATTGGTATAAGGACATCATTCGTAAATATAACTCAACATGCAGACATCTTATACGTTCGGGTATTTCACATCCAATCTTTTATGGTAATATTCTTTACAAAGCACAAAGATGTCAGTATTCACCTCAAAAGCTAACAAAACCTTTAAACAGACTTATTAAGAAGGGATATAGTTACGATACTGTTGTCAGGTCATTAAAGATTGCATATTTTGGCTTTAATATTGATTCACTTATAGGGTCTTTGCGGCGGAATTAAACATATTTATTCTAAAACCAGTTGTTGGCATGACACGGGTTATGTTCTTCTCATATATTTTATGATGGTATAATACTAAACCCCTATTAGGAGGGATTGTGCCTTCATATGATAAAGACATAATCTTTCAATCAGTTTAATTGAGGTCTGGAGCTGGCATGTCAGTAACTGCTAGTAGTCTGTTGTTATTTATGTATTATTGTCATTTTGTTTATTTTCTTTTGTTTCCTATTCTGACATCGGACTCGGAATTCTCTTAAACTGAGTTTTACTGTGCGTACTGTTGTACGTTTGTTTTTCTACATTTGCTAGAGGTATAGGGGGAGGGTTGAGATCTCAAAAAACATGTTTAACCCCGCCGCATTTTTGCGCCTGTCCCAAGTTAGGAGCCTCTGGCCTTTGTTAGTCTTGTATCATTTTTAATTTTAGTTTCTTGTGTATAATTTGGAGTTTAGTATGCCGTCCATTATCACTGAACTAGTATACATATTTGTTTAGGGGCCAGCTGAAGGACGCCTCCGGGTGTGGGAGTTTCTGGCTGCATTGAAGACCCATTGGTGGCCTTCGGCTGTTGCTCTATGGTCGGGTTGTTGTCTCTTTGACACATTCCCCATTTCCATTCTCAATTTTATTGTGAGTGCTCAACCCTCCACCTAACCTGGGACAGTAGTGTAACAGCACAACATAAGAACACACTATAAAAATCAGTTGAAAAAGGCTTAATTCATCAGATCAATACTAAGCAGAAAAACATCATACAAAAAAAAAAACAGACCGGACGTGGCAGGGTATTTATCCACCCCTCGTCCCTAACAACAAAACAGACACTAAGTACAGATCTGAGAGTACTCGCAGTTACAGACAGCTAGTTCAAACCCGATAACAACTAATAAAAAAAATCATGTATCTTAGACTAAAATATCAAGTAGAACCCATCCAACATCCAATGGGTATAGTGTAAAACGCCATTAACAATCAGAGAAAAACACGACCTTGTGCAATGCCAAAATATAGGTATCGACAGATTGTAGTACCGTGAAATACCATATGTATATAACAATTATATTTAGTATGGTTTTGATTTACTGATAACAAAATCAATATTTATACCTATAAAAACAATATTTAAAGATTCAATTACAGTGTTGAATTGGTAACCTTTCAGAATAAGTTTATTTAATTGATTGATAAGTTTACCCGGATCGTATCTCAATTTCCGGGCTCTGTTAACAACATCACTGTAAAATTTAGGATGTACTATTCTGTTTGAAATAAGTTTTTTACGAGTAGAGCAAAACTTGCAAACCAAATCTTTGTATCTATGGATTTAGTAAAGGTTTTAAGTTATTTGGGGTATTTGACATAATAATTTACTCGTAATACATAGATTACGCTCATTGAAATCCAAAACGTCACTACAGACACGGGCATCATGAAATAGTTGGTATATATAAACACCGTAAGACGGTGCCAAAGGAACATAACCGTCCAAAAAAGGAAAACTAACAATACGGAAAGTAAAATCATCCCTTTAGTCGTAAATGTTTGTGTAGAGTTTCTGGTGTAACACTGAAGTATCTAAATCTAGGAAAGGACAGTTATTGCTGAATGTTTGATTTATTCAAAGTAAGTTCCTTTGGGTAAATTTCAGCAGTATATTTAGAAAGTTCTTGATTATTTAACGAACAAATTTCATCAAGATAAGTGTTGTTGAATTTATCAATTAAATAGAATTTAGACGTTTCTTTACTGAGTTTGGCCATAAACTGTGATTCATAACAGTATAGGAACAAGTCTGCTATTAAAGGGGCACAATTGGTGCCCATAGGAATCCTACACCCTGTCGATAAACTTTATTGCCGAAGCGTACATAAATGTTGTCAAGGAGAAAATTTACGGCTTTAATCATCTCATTACACCTCCAGTAAGTATATCTAGCATATTTACCTTCAAGTTTCTCATTTGAGAAATAGGCTTTATATGAGTTGCAGCAAATAAATTTGCAATCAGATTTATCAAAAGACCATTTAATTAAATAGGAAAACTTTTGTTTGATAAGATTGTGTCGAAGTGTAGTAAGTAAGTGGAAAAGTCAAAACTGTTAACCGAATCAAAAGGGCCATCAAAAGCACGTAATTTATCTAAAACATCAAAAGAATGTTTTACACCCAAAAAATGGTTAAGCGATTAAGCGAAAACAAATCCGGGTTACAAGATAAAACCGACGGAAATACATCAAATATAAGAGGAAAACAACGGAACAACAGAAACACTGAACTGCAACAAAAACAAACGCCAACATACAAAGAAACGAACTATTTGATAACAACTGCCATATTCCTGACTTGGTACAGGACATTTTAAGAAAAAAATGGTGGGTTTAACCTGGTTTTATGGCTAGCCAAACCTCCCGCCTATTTGGCACTGTTAAAAATACCGCTAAATGACAACACAACGTGACAGAAATACAGTACAAACAAATGCAAGAACACTCAGCACAGAGAAACACATAAATAAATAATATAAGTACATTACAGGGTATTTTTGTGTGCTTACCGACCTGATGAGTCAAGCTTTTTCCATTTGATGCTTATAGTTTGTACTTATTTATATCTATTTTTCGGTTATAAAGTATTAAAGCTATAGATAAATCTTTTATTAGATATTCATATGTAGACCGGTTTCTCGTGCTTTAGTTGCATGAAGGAATTTAAAATAAGGCCGTGAGATGTATGCATTAGCGTACTTGTTACCTTTAGATTAGAGGCTATATAGATGTCGCAGTATATTCTTGATCATGCAAATAAATGTTTATCTGAAGACTATGAAAAGATTTTAGTTGAAATTTAACATGAAAGGCGACTCGCGAATAATGACCA